CGCAGTTGCGGCAGGCGACAGACTGCCAGCCTGGGGGCAGGGGCTGACGTGGCTCGAGACCTCAGTAACCCCAGAACCCCCGACCCCAGCCCCCATGCTGTCGCCCGTTCCCGGCCCTGGGTTACGCGCTTCCCCTTAAAAGCTGGGGCCAAGCAAAGGAACGACAGGCGTTGCAGCCAATGGTGTCGCTCATGGTGAACCTGGTACCCAATCAAAAGGCGCAGCTGCGAAGGAACGGGTGGGAACCACGCCTGATTCCAGGTGACTCCTAGCAGGGAGGGGAGAGTGTCTCCGTCAGCCGGTAGGGTCGCGTGCCTCGGGCGAGTTACCGGGGACGAAGCTGCGGGAGCGCGCGGGCAGCGGCCCGCCGCGGAATACTTGTGTGCTGCGGCCAAGAAGAAGGGTGATGGAGGGGCGTCAAGAGGCTGGGAAGGAGAGCAAGGTAAAGAAAGGATGCAAACCCCCTCCCAACCTTCACCTCACTCCATGATACCCAGTGATGCCCAATCAGGGAGTGGGGCGTGTGTGCGTGTGTTCGCGCGCACGCGTGAGCTAGAGAGACCTGAGCAAGGGGGTAAGGGGGTGGGGCGCCTCTGTGGCACCTGCATGGGGCTTGATGAGGATGCCAAAGGAGGCAGGGTTTACCTTTGCCCTGACAGATGGAAAGGGACCTGTCACTGCCACTCCTCCCCTCCCCAGGACCAACTCACGATTCTGGCCTAATGGGGAAGAAGAGGAAGGAGGGATGTTAGGGATTGAGAAGAGGATGGAGTACCTTCTCCTTTGCCAAGGAGGGAGGAATCCAGTTCAGCACTAATGGCTTCATTTGTGTACCTGTGTTCATATAATCATAAGATCACTAATTCTTCACTCTTTCCTCTTGATTTCATTCAACAAATAGTTATTGAGCATCATTGGGCTCACAGAGGTGCACACTTTTGAGCATTGGAGGCATGTGCATAGTGGGCTGTGGCTGAGGACAAGGATGGAGTAGCTGTGGTCCATCCTTGAAGTTCCATCTCTCTCAAGCAGTTACCAAACAGTGCAGGTTAGAGCAGAGATACTAAGGTAGCAGGAGGGAGACAGGAGAGTTAGGGGCCCCTTGTACCAATGAGCCAGATTGTGTGTGTTGGGGGGGTTGCAGTTGGACAAAGGGGAAGGCTGCCTGGGGATGTCAGAGAAGCCAAGTGAGGAGTTTGGAGAGTTGAGAGGGGCTGAGAGACACAAAGTATAGAGCAGAAAATATCTGTTTCAATGCTTATGTTCAGATTCATGGCTAAATCTGTTAATATATGTAAAATGCTTAGGTCAGTACCTGGCATATAGGAAGCTCAAGTATGTGTTAGCTATTTTGTTGTTGTTGTTACTGTTATCATATGGGATGTATACTGGGCTATCAAACTGATGGGTCCATTCCCAAACTTTGTGGGTGCCAGACTCTCTCAAAGTCCAGTATTAGAGCCTGTCCTCTAGAGTAAGCATCGCCTTCTCCAAGATTCTCCTTTAAATAGGAAGAAATGAAAAGAATACTAAATGAAGATGTAAATTAAAATATAATAGAAGAGAAAATGAAATAATATAAAAATACTTGACTAATCTAACAGAAGGCAAGGGAAAAAGAATAAAGCAACAAAAAAACAGATGAGAAAAAGAAAAAAAAAACAAAAAGCAAGATGGTAGGTTTATAGCTTATGTCAGTAATTACAGTAATTATGAACAGACCAAACCCACCAATTAAAAACATATTCAGGGGGTGCCTGGCTGGCTCAGTTGGTAGAACATGCAACTCTTGATCTCAGGGTTGAGACTTTGAGCCCCACCTTGAGTGTAAGGTTACTTAAAAAAAAATTGAGACTGGATTTTTTTTTCAGATTGGATTTTTTTTAAGTAGGCTTCATGCCCAGCATGGAACCCAACATGGCGCTTGAACTCACAACCCCAGGTCAAGACCTGAGCTGAGACCAAGATTCTGACACCTAACCAACTGAGCCACCCAGGCACCCCTCAGATTGGATTTTTAAAGACAACTATATTCTGTCAAATGACACGTACTTTAGGGGCTCAGCAGGGAGTCTGTTGAGATTCTCTCTCCTCTCCCTTGCACCACCCCCGCCTCTCATTCTCTCTCTCTCTCTCTCTCTCACACACACACACATACACACACACATATACTCTCTCTAGAATAAATAAATAAATAAATCCTTTTTTTTTTTTTTTAAGAGACATGTTTTAACTGTAAGGACACAAAAAGAATGCTAACCAAAAGAGTGATGGCATAGCTACATTAATTTCAGACAAAGTAGACTGTAAGACAAGAAGTATTACTAGAAATAAAGAGGGACATTTTATAATGATTAAAGAGTCAATTCAACAGGAAGATAAAACAGTCCTAAATTTATATGCAACGAATAGCATCATTTCAAAATATGCAAAGTAAAAGATTACAGAATTAAAAGGAGAAATAGACAAACTCACAATTAGAGGTTTAACACACTCTCTCAACAAGCCCCCTGCCCCCAAATCAAGTAAGGATTTTGAAGATTTAAAATACCATAATTAGGGGTGCCTGGGTGGCTCTTTCGGTTAAGCATCTGCCTTCGGCTCAGGTCATGATCCCAGGGTCCTGGGATTGAGACCCATATCGGGCTCCTTGCTCAGTGGGGAGCCTGCTTCTCCCTCTCCCTCTGCCTACCGCTCTGCCTACTTGTGCTCTCTCTCTCTGTCAAATAAATAAATAAAATACCGTGATTAATCAACTTGATCTAATTGGTTTAATTAGAGCTCTGTACCCAACAACTGCAGGTAACACATTCTTTTCAAGTGCCACTTGAAACATTTACCAAAATACATTATATGTTGGGCTATAATGCAAGTATCAACAAGTTTTGAAACATTGAAATCATAGAATGAGATCTCTGTCCCATTAGAATTAGCAGGGAATCAAAACAAAAACATAACTAGATTCCAAAATATTTGGAAAGAAAGCAACATGCTTCTAAGTAATTCATAGGTCAAAGAAGAAATTAAATGAAAATTAGAAAAAATTTTAAAGAAATGATTTTGAAAATATGATATATCAAAACTGGAGATGCGGGTGCCTGGGTGGCTCAGTTGGTTAAGCGACTGCCTTCGGCTCAGGTCATGATCCTGGAGTCCCAGGATCGAGTCCCGCATCAGGCTCCCGTCGGCAGGGAGTCTGCTTCTCTCTCTGAACCTCCCTCCTCTCATGCTCTCTATCTCTTTCTCTCTCTCAAAAAAAAAACAAAAAAAAAAAACTGGAGATGCAGCTAAAGAAGTACCCAGGGGGAAACTTACACCTCCAAATGCATATTTCAGAAAAAAAGAAAGGTTGAAAAAAGTCAATGATCTACATTTCTTTTTTGTTTTGTTTTTTAAAGACTTTATTTGTTTATTTGTCAGAGAGAGAGCACAAGCAGGGGGAAGCAGGCTCCCCGCTGAGCAAGGAGCCCAATGTGGGACTCGATCCCAGGACCCCAGGATCATGACCTGAGCTGAAGGCAGATGCTTAACCAACTGAGCCACCCAGGGGCCCCAGTGATCTACATTTCAATATCAAGAAACTAGAAAAAGAAGAACAATTGAAACTCCAAGAAAGTAAAAGGAAGGAAATAATAAAGAGCAGAAATCAATTAATAGAAGGTAAATATACAAATATAGGAATTCAAGAATGCCCAAAATAGTTTTTTGAAAATACTAAAAAATTGATAAGCATCTAGCAAGACTGATAAAAGAGAGAAAGAGAGAGCAAGAGGGAGACTGAGAGGGAGGAAGGGAGAAAATATTAATTACCAATATCAGGAATGATAAAGTGCACATTGATAGAGATGTTTCAGTCATTAAAGAGATATTAAGAGAGGGGGGATTCTGCTTCTCCGTTAGCCTCTGCCCCTGCCCCCGCTCATGCTTTCTCTCTCTCTCTCTCAAATAAATAAATAAAATATTAATAAATAAATAAAAATACAAGAATTTAAGAACAAGCTTACGCCAACAAATGAGAGAATTTAAACAAAATGGACAAACTACTTGAAAAATGCAACTTACCAAACCTGAAATAAGAAGTAGAAAATCTCAATAGTCCTATGTCTATTAGAGGAAGTAAATCTATAATTAAAAACTTTTCCAAAAATACCTAAGCAATATAATTTCACATATGAATTCTTTGAAGCATTAAAGGAAAACTAATACCATTCTCATATAAGTTATTCCAAAAACAGAAATAGAAGGCACAGTTGCAACTTATTTTCGGAGGACAATATAACCTTGATACAAAAACCTGTCAAGAGGAAGTAGATGATGGTGATGGTTGCACAACACTGTGAATATACTTAATATCAATAAACTGTACACTTTAAAATGGTTAAAATGGTAAATTTTGTGATATGCATATTTTACCACAAAATATCCTGTCAAAAACATTAAAAGAAAGGAAAAAACACAGGTTAATCTCTCTTGTGAACGTAAATGGAAAAATCACAAATAAAATATTATCAAGTTGAATAAGCAATATATAAAAACAATACTTCAGGGCACCTGGGTAGGTCAGTTGGTTAAGCATCCAACTCCTGATTTCAGCTTAGGTCATGACCTCAGGGTGGTGGCATTGAGCCCTGCATTGGGCTCCACACTCAGTGCAGAGTCTGCTTGTCCCTCTCCCTCTGCCCCCGACTGCCTGATCACTTGCTTGCATGCTCATTCTCACTCTCTCAAGTAAATAAATAAATAAAACCTTTAAAAAAAATAAAAACTAAAAAACAAAAAGATAATACTTCATGATGAAGGCCTTATTCCAGGAATGCAGGGTGGTTCAGTAT